AAGCAGGAGGACCCTGTGTGAAATGTTAGTGCCCATGCACTGTGAAAAAAAAAGAAATTAAAAAAAAAACTTAATGGGCAGCACAATGGCTAAATGGTTAGCACGTCTGCCTGGCAGTACTAGGGTCCCTGGTTCAAATCCCAACCACGGCACCACCTGCCTGGAGTTTGCATGTTCTCCCTGTGCCTGTGTTTGTTTCCTCCAGGTACTCCAGTTTCCTCCCACACTCCAAAGACATGCTGGTAGGTTAACTGTCTAAATTGGCCCTAGTATGTGTATGTATGAATGTAAGTTATGGACCTTAGACTGTACACCCCTTGAGGGTTAGGGATTGATGTGAATGTACAATATATATGTAAAAGAGCTGCATAAATTGATAGCTCTATATAAGTACCTGTAATAAATAAATACTTCACTTTTCTCTACATTAAAAAAAAAAACGTTTAGGAATTTAAGTTGGGTACAGTCTTTATTGCGACAGAATGAGGAAATCTCACATAGATATCCCACAAAGCACAGGAGTGTGGGATACTCTCACATATTGAAGGGTACTTACAGTATTTTCCTAGGAACAACTGTATTAACTGAAAACCATGTGACAATCAGATCGGGAATACCAGGATCCCAAACTCTAGTACTCTACCCTGAATCTGTATATTGCCACCCTGATGCCTATCATTTAACATGGAAAGACAGGATACATCTTTTACATTGAAGAAGGGTAACCCAAACTTGTTTTCCTTGACTGGGGTAGGTAGGTTGCTCAATGTTAAGTGCACACAACATGTTAATAAAATTAAGCGTACCAGGTCATCTTAGTACAGGTATTTTCCCATCATTTGCTATGATATGCAAGCTCACATCTTCTAAAATTAATAGGCAATAAAAGTAGGTGTCACACTCAACTAAATGTAAATAGAAATAGCCTAATTTCAACACAGAATAATGAGGTTTGTCACCTACAAAGGAAGAAACATAACATATAGGGTTATTATACCAGATAATTAGATATAACAGTACAGTGGAAGATATTCATGTTGCTAGTACTATAAAAATAATGGAAAGTTGAATCATAACATACCAGCATACCAGCCTGACAAGCTGCACTTATCCTAGATGAATAACATTGTATTTGCTACTTTACCAACAAGATACCTCTTTGAAGGACACACTTCACTTCAGTTGTATAATATCTTAAAGACACATTGTCATCAGATCATTCATTTCAGCAACAATCTTCCTATAGGATTATATGTGCATTTTATGCATTTTAGGCACGCTATTTATCGGTAAAAGTCTATTCTGTGTAGACAACCAAAAACTTGGAGACACCTGATGGGTGCCACCATCTTGGATGTGATATCCTCAATCAGCAGTATTACACTGAATTGATACTATTAGAATCCACTCCTCCCCAAGCTGCTACATAGAGGGTTATGTAAGGAGGGTAGTTGGGGGGTTGGGCAGAGGAGTTGGGCCATCATAGACCTCATTTAGACACTCTCACAAAAAGAGGGCGCTATGATGTGCAAGTAGGAATTTGGCTGTGCTAGGTAACTGAAACTTTCTTGAGTGTCAATTCCCTGCCAAGTTCAAGGGCATGTAAAAATGTCCATACAACATTTTTTACTGGAAGTTAGCATTTAAAATACTTGAAATTTCCATGCTTTTACTTGCAATTTTTTTATGTTGGCGACAATGTTTCTTTAAGGTCTTAAATATTTTAAGGTAGGCATAAACAGCCACAGGCTGTTAGATGCTTAAAAGCAATATGATTGCTGAATATCCTTTTTTCTCACATTTACCAAGGGAAGTGGTAATAAAAAGTGGACATTTGGAAAAAGGTAATGTTACATGAAATATAGAAGATATGATAATATTGCAATTATGTTCCTGATTCAATGTTAATTAGTATGGCCAAATTAACAACTTAAAATAATAGATGCTTTAGGGGTTGGACATTTGGGGAACTAACACCTAGCTGTTAATGAATCTCCTGTAGGCTTGTGGATGTGGATAAATTATCAACTGTCAACTCACAAACCATCAAAAAATTATTGCAGGCCAAGCAACTACATCCCCAGTAGAAAGGTTTTTACACAATGAGGCCTCAAACTATGTGTAATCATTTGTCATTTTCTTAATACCACGGGGAATATTTCCATTCTCTCATAAAATCCAAAATATTAGTTGCAGGGAAAAGTATACCTTATGGTGTCTCTCCATGCTGTGGATGCTGTGGATGGAAGTGAAAGAATCACCCCACCTGCAAGTGAGAAGAGGGGAACGTGAGTCTAAGCCAGCAATGGGCAAACTACGGCCCGAGGGCCGTATACAGCCCAGCGGACCTTTTAATCCGGCCCGCGGAGCGTGGCAAACATCGGCTGTCAAAATGTGTGTAGGCGGGGCAGCATGAGGAACGTGAGGGGAGCTAGGCTCCTCTCACAGTCCGCCCTGAAGACCGGAACGGCGCGGGAACACGGCGAGAGGAACGCGCGGAGCAAAGGTAAGTGAATTGACACAGGGGGGACTTGGCTTACTACTTGGGGGGGAATAGTACTGTGGGGGATGAAATACTATATGAGGGATGAATTAATATGGGGGATGAATTAATATGGGGGATGAATTACTATAGGGGGGATGAATTACTATATGGGGGATGAATTACTATGGGGGATGAATTACTATATGGGGGATGAATTACTATGGGGGATGAATTACTATATGGGGGATGAATTAATATGGGGGATGAATTACTATATGGGGGATGAATTACTATGGGGGATGAATTACTATATGGGGGATGAATTACTATGGGGGATGAATTACTATATGGGGGATGAATTACTATGGGGGGGTGAATTACTATATGGGGGATGAATTACTATGGGGATGAATTACTATATGGGGATTAATTACTATGGGGGATGAATTACTATATGGGGGATGAATTACTATGGGGGATGAATTACTATATGGGGGATTAATTACTATGCTTACTATGGGGGAATATTACTATACTTACTATGGATGACACATACACATCATTCATCTACTCTTGGTCGGCCCCCGGGTCCAATATATGAACCCATTGCGGCCCTCAAGTCAAAAAGTTTGCCCACCTCTGGTCTAAGCGATTCCAGTGTCAGCCAGTACAAGTGACGGGATGGACGCTGCTCAACTGACCCCAGGAGTCCAATGTTGAGGAATGGCCTCAGTCGCCATTCTGGCCATGACAGCTGATGCGTTTCGCCCCGGGGCTTGGTCACAGAGGTCATTAGTTGCAGGGAGATGAGTTTTTCTATCAGACAGTACACAATATGAGCTAGCTGTATGTCACTGCAAAATACTTTTTTTCCCTGGTGCTATAGAACACCCTAGGACTGACCAACTATTGTATGGACCCTACTGACAGTAGCCATTAGGTATTTTGACTGGCTGCAATCTGGATGATGTATTGGTTGAGTTATATTTACTAAAATAATTGCATTTCCATTTTCTGTGTACTGTGGGAGACCGGATATAGTGAATGCAGGATCATGGGTTTACTAACACTTAAGAGAAAAATTTTCATGTTCGTCCTTTTGGATAATTTCACATGAACCAGGGGCAGACTGACCATTTGGAAACTTGGGCCCCATGAGATGCCCCTGGTACCTTTTTCATAGGCTTTTTTGAGTTTGGGCAAGGACACAGGGGCCCCGTGATCCCCTATTGCCCGGGGGCCCCATGAGTTGTCAGTCCGCCTCTGACATGAACTGTCACAATCGGATTTCAAAAGCTATGTACTAGCTATCAGATTATCAGACGATCACTCCAAGAGCATTTTTTTTTGTCTATTTCATCATGTGCACTAGGCATAAGGCTCACTACAGAAGTAATTAGGACAGTAAAGGAGAAAAAGAACAGCATTTAGGAGATACATGGAAACAAAATGCTGATAGAAATGTGTGTATAAACAGACAATAGGAGATCAAACATACAGTACAATAGGAGACCAAACAGACAATAGAAGACCAAACATACAGTAAATGTTGCTAAGGCACAGAAAGAGGAAGAAACTACTAAATCAATTAAAAAGGGAGACAGGAAGAATCTATCATATCAGTGACAGGAAGGAAAGATACTATTAGATCAAAAAATGAAAACTGGGAAGGGAGACCTGGATATAGCAAACCATTTAAACAACCGCTTTTGTTCAGGTCAGAAATTGGGGGATCATGTTGGTTCTAGCTTGAAGGTTAATTTTCAGGGTTTCTGAGGGAGATGTAGCAGATGAACTAGTGCAATTTCAAGCCTTTTAACCTCCCTGGCGATATGATTATTTCAGATTTTTGGTGCTGAAAGCGGTACCATTATTTTGCATGGAAATTTAGCATTTTATATTGTAGGCCTGTAATTCTTAGGAATAACTCACTGAAATCTGTCCGAACAAGAGTCTAGTAAACATCCCGTAGGAACAAACACAAAATCATAAATTATAATTTAATAAATAATCATAAAAAATAATAATATAATAATAATAAAAATGGGTTTGCACATCACTGAGCAAAGTCGCAAAAGTTTTCAGTGTCTGATGACGAATTTCCCCACAAATCATTATCAGATCAAAAAATCCCGGTAATATAACTTGAAACATGAAATCATAAATTATAATTTAATAAATAATCATAAAAAATAATAATATAATAATAATAATAAATGTAATTCAATAATATAATCAAACCAAAAACACTGAAATTTTAAATAGAGCGCCAAGTTTGCACATCACTGAGCAAAGTCGCAAAATCGTTTTCAGTGTCTGATGACGAATTTCCCCACAAATCATTATCACTCAATTCTGCAAGTAGTTCTGATTTACTATCGCTGTTCTCTAGCTGGTCTAAAACCGCTTTTAACCTAAAGGGATGCTTTTTGGACGCCATGGACGTTTCTCAGTTTCCAGGTAGAATTAACAGTAAAAATGAAGGCAGGGCACAGGACAAAGCACTCGGGACAAAATGTATGTGAAATGGTTTGGTACAGTAATGTTTTACTATGTGATTTTAGTGATTTTAGTAAATGTCCTTTTTTGTCATTTTCAAATTTCCCGCCGTTCCGTCAGCCCTACGTTCCGACGCTCGCAGAGGAAGGAACCCAGATGACAGATGCCGGCAACCGCCGGATTATATTGCCGGGGACACTGCAGGAGGGACATCGTGGGAGTGCAAGACAAGGTAAGTGATCGAGGGATTGAGGAGCAGCACCATATGGTAAGCCCGAGTGTAGCTCGGGGTTACCGCTTGTGGTGCTGAAACTTTACCCCGAGCTACACTCGGGAATACCGCCAGGGAGGCTACAGTAATGGGTTCTGGTGGAAATCATCCCAGAGTTCTAAGAGCTTGATCTTTTTAATTACTCTCTTCTGACAGTGGAAATACCCCATGACTGGTAGACTTCTATTGTACCTATCCATGAAAAGGTAACAACAACGGGACAGTGAGTTTAACATTTGTAGCAGTAAAATTAATGGAATCACTTCTAAAAAAGATGGATCAATGATAATTTAAACACAGAACTACAGAGGAAAAATGTTGGGGGTGCTTATTTCAGGTGATCGCAAAATGAGTAAACAGTGTGAATTGGCAATGGGGAAAGCAAATAGAATTCTAGGGTGTATCATTAGAGGGGTCTCCAGCAGGAGGAAGGAGGTTCTGATTCCCCTATATAAATATTTAGTTAGACCTTATGTAGGATACTGAGTCCAGTCTCAGTCTGAATCTGAAGACCTCACTTGCAAAACAACATACAGAGATGAGCAACAAAAAGATGAAAGGTCTGAGAAATAAAACATATCATGAGAGACTGCAAGAATATAATATGTGCATTCTTGAGGAAAGAAAGGAAAGGGGGGTGGGGCATGAGTGTCACCTTTAATTACATTAAGGGTGTAAACAGGGGCGGACTGACAATTCATGGGGCCCCCGGGCAATAGGGGATCATGGGGCCCCTGTGTCCTTGCCCAAACTCAAAAAAGCCTATGAAAAAGGTACCGGGCATCTCATGGGGCCCCCTACTGACCCCGGGCCCTCATTAGTGGATCATGGGGCCCCTATGTCCTTGCCCAAACTCAAAAAAGCCTATGAAAAAGGTACCAGGGGCATCTCATGGGGCCCCCTACTGACCCCGGGCCCTCGGGCGGTGCCCGAGTTTCCAAATGGTCAGTCCGCCCCTGGGTGTAAATAAGGTTCACAAGGGCAGTATTTTTAATATGACGCTAAGATCAAGAATGTGTTGGCATTAGAGTTGATTTACTAAAGGCAAATAGGCTGTTCACCTTGCAAGGGAATTTTGCCCAGAGCTTGAGTGAAGTGTTAAAATTTCAAAAAGAGGATTTTGCAAAGAATACCCAATCATATACCAGAAAATGTTTTTAAAAAAGCATTTTTGCTTGCACCTGTTTGGATGATGAAAGCCAACAGAACTTCACCTCATTCAATAAACTCTGGAAAAAATGTCATTGCAAAGGGAACAGTATGTCTGCCTTTAGTAAATCAAGTCAATGACCCCAACCAACAGCAGGAAAGTTCACAACTAACCTTAGAAATTATTTTAGGAGTGGTTGATGCTTGGAACAGAATTCCAGCGTTAACAGTAACAGTAAGTGAACAGAAATGAATTAAAGCATGCATGGGATAAACATAGATCTATACAAAGAATAAATAAAAAAAGAGGTCAGACTTGATGGATCACTTGGTCTTTATCTGCTGTCATTCTTCTATTTTTTATTGCTGAAGCAGAGAATATGAATTTATTTGCCTTGATCAAGCAACTGTAATGTCATCTGCAGGGGTGGACTGACAACTCATGGGGCCCCCGGGCAATAGGGGATCATGGGGCCCCTGTGTCCTTGCCCAAACTCAAAAAAGCCTATGAAAAGGTACCAGGGGCATCTCATGGGGCCCCCTACTGACCCCGAGCCCTCGGGCAGTGCCCGAGTTTCCAAATGGTCAGTCCGCCCCTGGTCATCTGTATAAGCAAGGAACAATGACCCAGTAATAATGTCAAATTTTGCACAACTAATTAAAGTGGTTGTAAAGGCTCAAGGTTTTTTACCTTCATGCATTCTATGCATGAATGTAAAAAAAATCTTCTGTGTGCATCAGCCCACCGACTCTCCATAATCCACCGATGTGCACAAGAGCAGCGGCTCTCTAGGAACTCTTCCTCCTCATTGGCTGAGTCGGCCAATGGCTCCTGCTACTGTCAATTACAGCCAGTGAGGCAATGAGGAGAGATGGGGGGTGGGACCGAACTGTGCTAGTGTGTGAATGGACACACAGAGCAGCAGCTTGTGAGCGAGCCGGCTCAGGTGCCCCACAGAGCATGGTGCTTGCTCTGGGGGCACTTGGCAGGAGGGAGGAGCCAAGAGCATCATGGGGGGTCCCAAGAAGAGGAGGATAGGGGCTGCTCTGTGCAAAACCACTGCACAGAGCATATGAGTATGACACGTTTGATTTTTGTTACAAAATGAGCCCCCCTTAATCTAAATACAGATAAATGCACATATTTGCTAGCACACCAAGGATCTTCAAATGTAGTCCAAAGGCATTTAATGCTGAAAGATCACATCACATAAGAAGTGCAACATTTTGGAGCCGTGCAGGACCCCTTCATCAGGCATGTGATAAAAATGCAGTAGTGGCATGAGAGAATTATAGAATGAATCTAAATACAGCCTCAGACAAAACAATCATCACCCAACCTGACAGAATTTGCCAAATTAGGAGACTATCACCTAGACCCTATTGGTGCCTTTACTTATCATCACTTAAACCTGACAGAATATATCAAATTTGGAGACTGTCACCTAGACCCTACTGTTGCCTATTTTGTGTATAAAAATGTGTTTGCTGTACACTTTGGGTTAAATAAACCACATGTTTAACTTGGGTGGAGGTATCCAAATCGGTGAGCTCTTACATAAGCTATTAACAAAAGCAACTGGCAATCATAATCAAAATCCTGTTTGCAATACCTTCCAAAAGTAGGACAGCTTTTTTCAGAGAACTTCCCTTCCTCCACAGGTGTTCAGGAGTGTTATAAATGACTGAATAGGTTGCATGAGGGTTTGGGAAGTTCAAGATATGAAAAATAGCAATTCCAGGCACCAAATAAAGTCAATCTTTGCACTGTCTGCCAAAGTCAAAGTAGTTTTTGTTCTCTAATTTGCTTCCAATTTCAGAAAGTTTTGGATCACACATCCTGTGGTTGTAATATTGTTGCTGTACTACAAAAAGAAGACTGCAAACAAGATTATACTTACCCATAGCAACTATTTATGGTTGGATTGGGAAGCAGTCTTGTATTGTGGACCCTACACAAGCCACAGACTTTCAAACATGATTTATTTATTTCAGGTACTTATATAGCGCTGTCAAATTACGCAGCGCTTTACATATATTGTACATTCACATCAGTTCCTAACCCTCAAGGGGCGTAAAATCTAAGGTCCCTAACTCACATTCATATACTAAGGCCAATTTAGAAAGGAGCCAGTCAGCCTACCAGCATGTCTTTGGAGTGTGGGAGGAAGTTGGAGTACCCGAAGGAAGGCCACACAGGCACAGGGAGAACATGCAAACTCCAGGCAGGTGGTGCCATGGTTGGAATTCAAACCAACAACTCTAGTACTGCCAGGCAGAAGTGTTAACCATTTAGCCACTGTGCTGCCCATTTAATAGAGAATAATAAACCGCTCATATGCCACATCCATAAATATCAGATGTATACCAGGAAACAAATGTTGGACTTTGCTGGCATTGGAGAGGAATACACACACACATATATTATAAGTACAAATGTTATTTATTATATTAAAAAATAATCATAATAAAATCACCATAGATAAAATAAAAACCAGAATTGCTCAATATTGAATCAAATACTTCCTACTGCTGACACATTAAACCGCATAATGACGATGAACATATAAAAATTAGTTATGTTTAAACTACAACAATATTCGTGGTTTTAGGTCCTCATGGGTCAATGTGTTTCTCTTATGCTTCCTCAGGACACATGAGAGTTCAGCAGAGGTTACTTGTTTGAGCATATACCCACAACATGGGTGGTCCTCTTGGGCGGGCACTGGAGCACATAGGAGGATAGACAGCCAATCATTTGGAATAAAGCTTATTCTGATAAATCCCAGCAAACAGTGGGGCCAGCTTGTTCACAGCTCGATACACAGAACAGATGATAACGACTAATATGCACCTCAACAACACCGATTCAGCTGACTGTTATTCTTAATATCCTTTCACTGTTGAGCTGACCCCTAGTAAATCGAACCCGTATGTGATTATACTGATGCACAGCCCCTCCTATGGTACGTGCAGGCTCCTAGTAGTTAGATACATTATGGGAGAAAACAGAACACCACGCCTTCCAATCCATCTATCATTTGTGGTGCATGTAATCCAACAAACTAAGGAAGCCAGTGCCTCACCAGAACTTTTTTTTGTATAATAAATAAGACTTTCAAACATTTTTTGGGATGAATTGATTAGCTAGGTTGAATTTTTCTGATTAATTTTACATTTCTGCCAGAATAAGACTATAACTGGTCAGTAAAAGTAGAATCAAAAGACTGATGAGCTTAACTTTTTGTCACTCTGCTCTTTCCTCCAGTCAGCATATTCTTTCTAGGTACATAGGCACTAAAGCACAAATGACTGGCTTCTCCCTGTCTCAATCTGAGATCTACTGTACAGAGACTACAAAAGGCAGATGCCAGGTCAAATTCAGGTGCTTACACTGATTGCATTTAAAATACAGCTACTGATGTATTACTGAATACAGAGCTGTATTGATTTGTGTCCTTTATAGCTTCTTGGAGTTCCGTTTTAAGCTGTCCTGTTTGTGTCTGTTATATATTTTCCTGGAGTTCAGCTGGAGTTTTTATATATCAGCTTTAAGCTGTCCTATTTGTGTCTTTTATATATCTTCCTGGAGTTCAGCTTTAAGCTGTCCTGTTTGTGTCTTTTATATATCTTCCTGGAGTTCAGCTTTAAGCTGTCCTGTTGTGTCTTTTATATATCTTCCTGGAGTTCAGCTTTAAGCTGTTCTGTTTGTGTCTTTTATATATCTTCCTGGAGTTCAGCTTTAAGCTGTTCTGTTTGTGTCTTTTATATATCTTCCTGGAGTTCAGCTTTAAGCTAATATCTTCTGTTTCTGTTTGTGTCTTTTATATATCTTCCTGGAGTTCAGCTTTAAGCTGTCCTGTTTGTGTCTTTTATATATCTTCCTGGAGTTCAGCTTTAAGCTGTTCTGTTTGTGTCTTTTATATATCTTCCTGGAGTTCAGCTTTAAGCTGTCCTGTTTGCTTTGGCACTCTGTTTAATCTGAATTTGATATATGTGCTCTTCTCTAGAAGTTCAACAGTCAACCAGAACAAACAGGTTTCAGAAGGTAAAAACAAATCAGGGTTTACGCAATTGCAGTGTATTTTGAAGAAAGCAGTACGAAAACAGGGAAAAGTGAAAACAAAAAGTATGCGTTTGGTAAATGATGGGAGATGTCATGTAGGAGATGTAAAGGTGGAAGAATGATATTAAAAGAGTGTTGGATTCCCTGGAGATGTGCTTGAAGCTAATACTTTACATACGATTCACAGCTAGCCCAGACAAACGGGGGTATAATAAATCTCAACAAATAATGTTGATTGAATGGAAAAAGATTTAATGCACAATGGGAAAATATACAGATTATGCAGACAAAATTATCTTTATTTTCCATCAGCTACTAACATTTTTTGAGCAGTATCAAGCTCTTATAATCTCACTCAATAGTAATGCAGGTCTGTTTAAAACATATTTCATTTTCATTGTTACCTGTCCTAAATCATTGTTACAAATACAAAGCAGATGGTTAAACATTGTTATAAAATGAATTTTAGGCTGAATTTAAGGTAAAAAAAAAAAAAAAAGCTCCCCGGTTTGTATGACTGATTATCTGTTAACTCACAAGTACATTTTCCTTTACTGAAACTGGAAAATAATATTAGGAAAAGAAATGTTTTTGTTAAAAAATCTTGATGGTTCACATCTGGAATTGTGATAATCCTCTGCTGAACTTCTGTTCTCTCAGATGGAATAAACATATGATGAAATCAGCCTGTACAAAAGAATCCTAAAGTAGAAGCTCTGCTTGTATAAATTAATTTGCTTCTTACATTTTTTAATAAACATTATATAAAACTAAGCCTAAACTAATCTGCAGGTGCCAACGAAACGACAGTTTCGAAAGGATGACAGTCTCTGGGGTGCATTTGCAAAGTCTGCCACCCACCCATCTTCATTATCATGAACTGGAAAGATCTTTCAAGCAGTTTATGGACCTAATGGCTGATGGTTGCCTAATGGTTGGGTTGTGCATGGGTATCTGACCACACCTGCATATAAAATTGATGGCAATATGTTTACCCACTCCCTTTTTGATTCTTGTTTATAATATATCTAATGTTTTGATGGTTCAATAAACTCAAACTCCAGATAGGCTATGGAGAATGTAACAGCTGTGATGAGAACTCTATGTTGAGTAGAAACACAGCCAGGAACAGCGAGGCAATCTCTTTTCCTGGAGTCTCCTGGAGTTTCCTGGATAACTTAGTCCAACAGATGCTACCTATAATACAAAATGCTGTTTTTAAGTATACAGACCCTTTAAAAGATCTAAATCTCTTATTTATCAGCTCCTGTTGAATAGATGCAGTTTTTTCGCAAAAAGTGCCATCTGTATGTACAATGTGTACTTTAAAGTTTTCATTATCCTGTCTTCTTATTCCAGAGTTAAATCTGTTGAGATATGATTACATGCTGATCATTCAGCATTGAGTATACAAATATATAAACTATACTTTAACAATGACTTGAGAACACACTGCAATCACATTTTATCTTAACTGTTATTTATCATACAGCTTACATTTCATAGCCCATATCAATAATTCCTCCTGTTGAATTGTCACCAATTTCTTACCATTCAATAGAAAACATATGCACTGTTCAGTACTCCCAGTATATGGTTTCACATACTCGTTCCTTATATGAGCAATGCAAAGAGATCCAGTTAGACCACCAAAGGACTCTTTTATGCATTTCATCTCCTTTTGACTATGTCAGAATGGTCATGCATAGGCCAACTTTTTGAAAGAATTCCTATCTCATTGGCTGATTAAAAAAAAAACTAAAACTTTAAGTTCATTAATAGAAAAATTAAAATAGAAAAATTGTCTGCACATTGTTTTAATTGTATTCAGATGAATCCTGGGTTTTATAGAGGCTATGTATATAGAGGATATATATCCTCTATATATCCTCTTCTATATATATATATATATATATATATATATATATATATGGAAATGGAAATACAAATTTTAATAAGAAAGCAATCTAAGGGGCTCTTGCAGTGATTCATTTAATAGGAACTTGATCTGATCCTTGTGGATATGATGTTGAGTAAGTACTGTATTGTCAAACGTATTGGGACATCTGCCTTTACACGCACATGAACTTTAATGGCATCCCAGTCTTAGTCTGTAGGGTTCAATATTGAGTTGGCCGACCCTTTGCAGCTATAACAGCTTCAACTCTTCTGGGAAGCCTGTCCACAAGATTTAGGAGTGTGTCTATGGGAATGTTTGACCATTCTTCCAGAAGCACATTGGTGAGGTTAGGCACTGATGTTGGACGAGAAGGCCTGGCTGCAGTCTCCGCTCTAATTCATCCCAAAAGTGTTCTATCGGGTTGAGGTCAGGACTCTGTGCAGAACAGTCAAGTTCCTCCACCCCAAACTTGCTAATCCATGTCTTTATGGACCTTGCTTTGTGCACTGGTGTGCAGTCATATTAGAACAGGAAGGGGCTATCCCCAAACTGTTCCTACAAAGTTGGGAGCATGAAATTGTCCAAAATATATTGGTATGGTGATGCCCTTCCCTTCACTGGAACTAAGAGGCCAAGCCCAAACCCTGAAAAACAACCCCACATCATGATCCCCCCTCCACCAAATTTCACACTTGGCACAATGCAGTCAGACAAGTACTGTTCTCTTGGCAAGCACCAAACCCAGACATGTCCATTGGATTTCCAGACAGAGAAGTGTGATTTGTTACTCCAAAGAACACATCTCCACTGCTCTAGAGTCCAGTGGCAGTGTGCTTTACACCACTCCATTCAACACTTTGCATTGCACTTGGTGATGCTTGGATGTAGCTGTTCGGACATAGGAATCCATTCCATGAAGCTCTCTATGCACTGTTATTGTGCTAATCTGAAGGCCACATGATGTTTGGAGGTCTTTGGCTATTGACTCTGCAGACGGTTGGCGACTTCTGTGCACTTGGCACTTCAGCATGCGCTGACCCCGCTCTGTCATTTTACGTGGCTGTTTTACCCACTTGCTTCCACTTTGCTGTAATACCAATAACAGTTGATGGTGGAATATTTAGTAGCAAGGAAATTTCATGGATGGACTTATTGCACAGGTGGCAACCTATCATGGTACCATGCTTGAATTCACTGAGCTCCTGAGAGCGACCCATTCTTTCACAAATGTTTGTAGAAGCAGTCTGCATGCCTAGGTGCTTCATTTTATACACCTGTGACCATGGAGGCGATTGGAACACCTGTATTCAATGTTTCGGAGGGGTGTCCAAATAATTTTGGCAATATAGTGTATCTAATAACATACTTTTTGTAGGAGGGATTGAAATGTCCCCTGCAATGGCTTAATTGTCACTGATGTAAATCTTTAAATTCTAAAGCCCCATACAGACAATGAGAATATTGGACAAATGATCGTCCCATTTTTTGCATGCTAGTCTCATATCAAAAGTGCAGAGGTTACTAAAGTTCCAAAAATTCTTGTACAACAGAAAGAAAATTCGGAAGAGATGTAATGTATTTGTATTGTATTTTCAGATGAAAAACTGTGCTGATTATACGAATATTTTCATGCTCGTCCCTTCAAATAATTTTGGACAAAAGCTTTATACTAACGATCAGATTATTGTACGATCGCTTTGAAAGTGGTATTTTTCGTACAATTTTCTGGTAGTGTGTTCTAGGCTTAAGTCTATGTTGGCGGTCCCTAGAAGGGAGAAAGAAAGTGCATACCTACTGGGATCTTTAGTTTTAATTCTGCTAAAATGGGCAGCAATGTAGACTGCATGCAGCTGCTGCTAAGTTTAAAAACATAGGGACTAAATATATAATAATGTAGATGTGCTTCATTTTAATAGTTTCTTACCATCCACATTTAGAAATTCTTTATGCTATTTCACACATGTAACATTTTCTACATTTAACTTTTCCATTGAATAAATAGTACTGCACAATACACAAATGTGCTGTGCCATATGAATAAAAAACCCCAAAAAGAATAATATTATAACGTGAATCTTTAAATAAATGTACTTTGTCCACCATATATTTGTTTCAGTGTCATTATCTTCTCTAAGTTCACAATATTCCATTACATAAATTCCACAAATTGTTGATTTTCCTTTTAGCGCAATTGTGCTCCAGTCTCAAGTGTGCAATTCATGTCACCACCATACAATTGCCCTCACCTTCTTGATATATCCCAAATAAATCTTAGGTCCAATATGCTTTCAAGGTTAATATAACCAGGACTGGTCATTACACCATACACGGTGCAAATCCCGTCACCGAGATATGAATGCGCTCACCTTCTATATATGACCTAAATTAAATTTAGGTTCAATGCGCTTTACCCCTTAAACCAGGGTTGGTATAGCAACTACTGGTCCCTCTCACAGCAATCTTCAGGAATTTCAGTCTACATCCATCCTAATCAATCCATAAGAAAAACCCCCCCCAAAGCTCAAGGAGAGTAAACAATCATAGTGCTTTCCATTTTACCACCAATATTTTATTAAAATGTTATTAAATTATGACTCACAATAAACTGTGCACTGTTCAGGTGCACTTCAGATAAAAGGTATGTCTTTCTTCGTAAAGATCAGTATTTCAGGTAACTCATAAGTACATTTATACTAACTTTTTATTTATCCCCTTTTGCAAGGTTTGATCTTTTGGAAGACAAGAGTTAAAGTGTTACTAAACCCATAACAGTAAAATCAGTCTGTATATGCAGTAAAGCATGCTTGTTATACTCACTGTGGAACCTAAGGGGTTAATCCTCTACATTGTGTAAACAAGGCCATTTGATCCTCTTTTCTCTGCCCCTCCTCTTGTTCAAATGTCCACGTCTTATCTTCTGATAAGACAGACTGAACCCTAAGACAGACTGAACCTGTAGCCACGTGCACATGCTTAGTTTGGTGTGAGAGGTTTTTTTTTTCTTGGGAGAGTGCATGTGATCAGCACAGGGCCAATCAGCACTGTCCAGACAGAGGTCAGGGGTTTGGCATCCTACTAGAGCAGAAAGAAAACTCATCCTACAAGCTTTAACCAGTGCTTTGCTGAAGTCACAAGACTGCTCTAACTGCTTATGAGAAATGATATTTAGCAGTTTATATTTACTAAAATAATTGCACTTCCATGTTCTGTGTACTGTGGGTGACCAGGTAGAGTGAATGCAGGGTTCTGGGTTCAGCAACACTTTTAAGAGCTGACTAATAAGCTCTTTAAACCTCTTATTTCTTGCTGGTAATTTTTGTTTTAGGCCCACAATTTCAATTATTTCTGAATCCATTTGAAGCAAAGACAATTGTGTATTAAAAGTTTAATTCAAGATCTTCTTAACTTACTTCTATATAGTGTTGAAGTAGCAACTATCTATAGGTAATGTACTCCTAAATCCAGTGTGCATTTTCTTTATCTGATCCTTTCTGAAAGATTATTTTATTCTCCAGTCTCCTATCCTAGAACAGTTCCTCGGTACCCTAATCCTAGTGGTATGTCACTGATCTGAAATGGCAGATATTGACTTGTGGCTTGGAGTAAGAATTTCCAACTATGTATTTTCCATCAGCACATGGGGAGGCTAATTTACTAAAGGAGCTGAACATCTTCACAAAATGTGCGAAGTGAAATAATTCATTTATCCAATTTTGTAAAAGGCAAATTCCTGTTTATTTATTTCATCTGCACTTTATTGGATATCCAGAGTGAGCACAGTTACAGTTTAATGAGTTGGGTTGTGTGTAACTTTTTGATGGGCTTTATATCTATTTTTTTAATCACCAGATTTTACACTTTAATTAAAATCCTTGCAGCTATGCAGCATAATAAATACTTAGAGGTTTCAACCCTTGTGCATTGCAACTGATGTGGATTTTGTACAAGCCAAAAACTTAGGGATATTTGCAAGGTTCTTGCCCTCAACATAAAAGAGACCCTCCTGCTTAACCCATTACTGCCTTTTTGCTAATGACTACATTTTCCAGCCTAAAGATTGTCACGTCCTTTTATTTATTTTTTATATATTTAAATTCATTTTACGTCTTTGTAATGTCATTATCTGGTCATATGTTAGTTCATATATATGAACTTAATGAGAACACCTGCCTAATCTGGCCCTCAGCTGGTCATATGTTAGTCTATATTATTTATTTCTGGTACTTACATAGTGCTGTCAATTTATGCAGTGCTTTACATACACATATTATTATTATTACACAGTATTTATATAGTGCTAACAGTTCACTCAGCGCTGTACATTACAATGGGAGACAATACACGAGACAGTACAATAACAATACAATGCGATACACGAGGGGGTTCGAGGGCCCTGCTCCTTGAAGCTTACAATCTAGGAGGGAGGGGATAGTGGTACAGGAGGAAATAGCTGTGGGGGATGGAGTGTTAGGAAGAGTGGAGGAGATCGGCAATTAGCTGAGGGCGGGGTAGGCTTCCCTGAAGAGGTGGGTTTTCAGGGTGCGCCTAAAGGAGAGGAGAGTAGGTGAAAGTCTGATGGATTGGGTTAGGGAGTTCTAGAGGATGGGGAAGCCCTGGAGAAGGCCTGGAGGTGGGCATGGGAGGAGGAGACCAGGGAACTAGAGAGAAGGAGGTCTTGTGAGGAGCAGAGAGTACGTTTTGGGTGGTATTTGGATATCAGGTCGGTGATGTAGTTTGGGGCAGTGTTATGGACAGCTTTGTATGTCAGTGTTAGCATTTTGAATTTGATCCGTTGGGCAATCGGAGGCCAGTGGAGGGATTGGCAGAGGGGGGTGGCGGATACGGAGCGGTTGGTAAGGTGGATGAGTCTGGCCGCAGTATTCAGGATTGACTGAAGCGGGGATAGCCTGTGGTGAGGTAGGCCAGTGAGTAGGGAGTTGCAGTAGTAAAGTCGTGATATGATAAGGGAGTGAATGAGTTGCTTAGTAGTTTCCGGGGTTAGGAACGGACGTATTTTGGAGATGTTGCGGAGGTGGAGTCTACATGAGTTTGTCAGCGATTGGACCTGGGGCTGGAAGGACAGATTGGAGTCTAGGATGACACCAAGTACTCTGGCTTGTGGGGTGGGACTGATGGTGGCATTGTTGGTCATGATGGAGAAGTCGGGGGGGCGCGAGCTGGGGGGAAAACTAGGAGCTTGGTTTTGGAAAGGTTCAGTTTAAGGAAGTGGAGTGACATCCAATCCGATATGTCGTTCAGTAGGCTAGTGATTCGGGTGGAGACTGAAGGGGTGAGGCGAGGGGTAGAGAGATAGATTTGCATGTCGTCAGCATAGAGATGGTAGTTGAAGCCGTGAGAGTGTATCAGTTGGCCAAGGGAGGAGGTGTAGATGGAGAAGAGAAGGGGCTAGAGGACAGAGCCTTGAGGGACTCCAACAGAGAGGGGGAGTGAGGAGGAGGTGACAGCATTATAGGTAACACTGAAGGAGCGCTGATAGACAGGAAGAGAGCCAGGAGAGAGCGGAGTCTCTGAGGCCAAGAGAGTGTAGTTTTTTGAGGGGGAGAGGGTGGTCGACTGTGTCGAAAGCCGCGGAGAGGTCGAGGAGTAGGAGCACTGAATAGTGGCCATTAGCTTTGGTGGTTAGCAGGTCGTTGGTGAGTTTGAGTAGGGCAGTTTCGGTGGAGTGTAGGGGATGGAAGCCAGACTGTAGGGAATCAAGGAGGTTGTTGTCGTTGAGGTGGGAGCTTAGGCGATTATAGACTAAGCGCTCAAGGAGTTTGGATGTAAATGGCAGCAGGGAGATGGGTCTAAGGTTGTTCAGGACGGTGGGATCCAGGGAGGGTTTTTTAAGTATGCACCAGTAGAGAGGGAGAGATTAAAGATGTGGGTGAGGGAGCGTAAGATGGAGGAAGAGGGAGATCGTAGGAGTTGTGAGGGGACAGGGTTGAGGGGGCAGGTGGTGAGGCGGGCTTCTGAGAAGACCTTAGTGACCTCTTCAGTGGTAGCAAGGTCAAAGGAATGGAGTGTTGAGGGGGTTTCAGTGTGAGGGATGTTAGGTGGGGTGGAGGTCTGGACAGTGGTGAGGTCGAGGAAGAGGGGTGTTGAGGAGGTTTCTGTGTGATGGGTGCTAGGTGGGGTGGAAGTCTGAACAGCGGTGATGTCCCTACGAATTGCGTCGATCTTGTTTTTGAAGTGATTAGCAATCTCGTGGGCGGTGAGTGTGGTACTGGGTGGAGGTGGGGGTGGAGAG